TCCACGCGCTCGCTCGCGCGCGCACACGCACACACACACACACACACACACACACACACACACACACACACACACACACACACACAGTTAACATACGTGTGCACGTGTGTCCCTAGTGCACAGCGGCATGGGCATCAGAATCACGGCGAACGAGAAGGTTCGACCCGATCGAGGTGAGCCCTTAAGCCCCGCCCCCCGAATGATGTCATCTGTCAATCTCGAAACATTTTGCGCACCAGCAAACAAGCTCAGGCTTCACTTTTACAGTCTTGCGTAAAGTATCTGAAAGCAATACTCGAGTAAAAGTATCTTACAAAATGCGACTGAGATGGTTATGAAATGATAGTTTCAAGTCGGGGTGAACATTTTAAATTGGGGTTTCTAAGGAGGGTTTTGAAATTGGGTTTTTAAGTTGGAGTGAGGCTTCTAAGTTACGACTTCAGCCCAAGGCTTTGGGCTTGAATAACCCTTGTTTCAAGCCTGCTTTAGGGTTTCAAACAAGGGATAGGGTCCCCTGTCAGGGTTCAGGTTTCAAGTCTGAGTTAGGGTTTCAGCCTGTTTTATGGCTTCGAACCACGGTTAGGGTTTCAAGTCAGCGGTATGGTTTCACGTTAAGATTTAAGGGTTAGGATCTTAAATTAGGGTTTCAAGAAAGGTTTATGATTTCAAGCTAGTGTTCTGAGGGTTAGGGTTCCAAATGTGGGTTTCAAGGTTGGTTTAGGGTTTTAAGTCAACGTTAAGGTTCCGACTCCGGGTTTCAAGCCTAAGTTAGGGTTTTAAACAAAGGTGAGAGTTTCGGTCTCGGGTTGTGATCCAGGGATATGGTTCTGAATTTAGGGTTCAAGCTTGGGTTACATTTTGGGTATCAAACGGGGTTTCCGGTTTCGAGACGGGATTATCGTTTCGAGGCTGGGTTCGAGGTTGAAGTCAAAATTAAGGTTTCTAATTAAGGTTTGAAGCGCTGGGCTCGGGTTTCAAGACAAGATTGCGGTTTCCAGCCTGGGTTGGGTTTTTAGGTCAAGGTCAGGCTTAAACTTTTGGTTCGGGTTTCAAATGAGGGTGTGTGCTTTTCTGTTTGAGGTTCGGGAGTGGAGAACCCGATCGGCGAAGTCGTGCTGCAGGTGGACATCGTCGCCAAGGAACGCAAAGTCGGCGTCAAAGGTGACGGTCGCTCCGTTTCGCATTTAAGAGCGCCACGGTGGCGCTGGGAGACTTACCGAACGGTCGCCGTGTCGTTCGTCAGTGATCGGCGTCAATGACCTGCGCTGGCAGACGTCCGGAATGTTCCGCCCCTTCGTGGAAGTTTCCTTGCTGGGGCCGGCGCTGGCCGACAAGAAGCGCAAGTTCACCACCAAGTCCAAGAACAACTGCTGGAGCGCCAAGTTCAACGAGAGCTTCCAATTGTCAGTCGCACACACGTCACCTCGCGCATCGAAAAATGGGTCAGGTGTTAAACGCGGTTTGAGTTCGGGTGTGGATGAGGCCTGGGTTGTGCTTTTAAGACGAGGTTAGGGTGCCAAGAGAGAAGGGTCAGATGTCACATGAGAGTTTAAAACAAGGCTCGCAATTTCTCATTAACGTTTCAAATTAGGGTTTTGAGACACAGCTATAGTTTCAAAGTCGGGTCTCAAGCGTGGCTTTCAAGTTTGGCTTTGGGTTTCAAACAGATTTAGGGTGAGAAATGACGGCTTTTGGTCTGAAACAAAGGTTATGGTTCCAAGTTAGGATTTCAAACGAGAGTGAGGAGTTCATCATTTGGTTTCAAGACTGGAAAGGAGGGTTTCAAGCTTGGCTTTGAAGCCAGTGTTTCAAGACGAGGCAACGGGTGTCAAGTTATGCTTTTAAATAAAGGTTTAGTGTTTGAAAGTGGGGTTTCAAGTTAAGGTTTGCAGCCGGGGAAAGGGGTTCAAGTCAGGGTGAAAAAAAACAGATTAGGGTCAAAAAGCCTACGTTAGGTTTTCAAAGTAGAGCTTCAAGACGAGGTTAGGGTTTCAAACTCGGGCTATAAACTAGGTTTAAGGGCAGTATTTGAAAGTAGGGTTTCAAGTTCGGTTTTGAAGCCGGGGTTGGGTTTAAAAAGTCGGGTTTCCAGCCTGCCTGAGGGTTTCAAAGTCGAGTTTCAAGACCAGGTTAGGGTGTCAACTCAGGGCTTGAAACAAGGTTTGGGCTTTCAGATTCAATTTGAGGCCAGACTTGCCATTTGAAAGGACAGTTTCAGATAAAGGTTTAAAAGTAGTCTTTTCAGCCGGTGTTGGGGTTTGAAAGTAGGGTTTCAAGACTAGGTTAGGGTAAGTAAGAGTTTTTAAGAACGGTTTCGGGTTTAGTTTAGTAGATTTCCAATTGCAGCGTTGCAGCCAGGTTTCGAATTTCAACGTTAGAGTGTTTGAACCCTGAATGAGGGTTTCAAAATAAGGTTTCAGAACGACTGTAGGGTTTTAAACAAGGTTTAGGGCTTGCAGCCAGGGTAAAGGTTTGAAATGAACGGGCCCCAGCAAGTGGGTGTCCCTTTTGTTGATTGCTGGCCCTTGTCCGAGTGTGCTTTGCACTAACGCGCGCGTTGTGGCTCCTCGCCAGCGCGTTGGGCAAAGAAGGCGGCGAGTGCTGCGAACTGCAGGCCTCGGTCAAGGACTACTGCTTCGGGCGGGCCGACCGGGTGGTGGGCGTGGCCGTGCTGCAGCTGCGCGACCTGGCCGGGCGTCGCGCCTGCGTCTGCTGGTGCCCGCTGGCTCCCGCAGTCCACACCGACCAGACGGGCGCCACCGTCCTGCGCATCCTGGCCCAGCGGGCCAACGACGACGTGGCCAAGGAGTTCGTCAGGATCAAGTCGGAGACGCGGCCCCCCGAGGAAGGCAGGTGAAGGAGGAACCTTTCCCAATGGGGTCCGCCGACCGCCGCTACCACGGACGAAGACGGCGTGCAGCTTTGAAGGACTCCTACGTGTTGGCACCGCGGCAATTATTAGGAAAACCCAACTGAAAGCGGGTCCAGGAAATGCAAGTACCAAGATCAAAAAGGTTTCAGAAACTTTAGATGGAACAAGTAACTTTTATAGGCCCTCTTGTGTGTTCGGACCTTTGGAACTCCGAGACTAAAAGATCACGCTCCTACATGGCTGATTGGAATCCATTAGTTCTGGGAACTACAAGAACCACGAACTCAAAGTTCCAGAAACTTTAGACGGAACTAGCAACTTTAAGAGGACCACCGAGTGTTGGGACCATTTGAACCATTGCTAAATCTAGCCCCCAGACCAGAAGGTAACCCTCACAACGCCCCTAAAGGCAACCTTTTAGTTCCAGGAACTACAAACACCCAAAATTAACGTTTCTGGAACTTTTAGGCAGCTTAGAATTACCGTTGTGTGTGCATCGCAGGAATTATTGCCTAAATATCGGGCGTCCTTCGGAGAGAGATCCAACAATGGTCATGAACCAAGACCCAAAGTTCCCTGGAACTTGAGGACCATCGGGACTTTGGTCCAAATTTTGTTCCCAGGTATTCTATCGGGGCTAGAAGATCTTTTAGTTCCAAGAACTACAGAAACCAGGAATTGAAAATTCCGGGAACTTTTCGTTCTAGATCACTTGATGAGGCCCACTGTGTGTTTGGACTGCAGGAACTATTGACTTCATGTAGTTCTGGGGTCATTTTTGAGGTCCAAAAGAAGATCCTCCTAATGGGTGAAGTACTTTTGAGACGTTCAGGACACTGGAGGTTTTTAGTTCCACTACAAGTACTTCCTGGAACTGATGGTGGAAATGCCAGTTTCTACCATCGTGGATCCTAACGAAAAACAAAGTTAGTAATTGGACCAAAAGAAAAGTCTGCTCAGTATTTTTGAGAAGTCCTGGAACTAGAAGGATCAGCAACTGAATGGTCCTGAAGTATTGTCCACATTCAATTTCGGGGTAATTTATCTGAGCCAAACTAAGACATTCCTCCAAAATGGCCATCGTAATGTTTACAAATATTTTGATTTCTGCATTATTAGAAGAAGCTAGCTAGTTAGCTTCAAAGTGTGTTCTTTCGTGTCATACCTTGAACGGCAACCATTTTGCAAACGATTGCCGCCATTTTGTTGGTGGAAAACAACATCGTAGTTCATGAGCGCTTTAAAATGTCGTTTGATGTGAAAAGAAAAATGTGGCTGTGACGAAGAGCAGAGTCCGCATCGGGCGGCTAGTTTGAGTACCTTTCTTCACTCGATGTCCTTAAAACTGGTGCTTGACGGCAACACTTGTGGATTTCAAAAAGCAGGAAAGCAAATTGTTGCTTGTGCTGCGTTACGGACATGAATCGTCATGCCTATTTTCTTGCTGCCTTGTATTCAAACTGCGACGACTGCTGCCAAAACGAGGACAAAAGTTCAACTTTGTGACTTTTCAAAGTCTCCGTGGACATTTTGAGTTGGATGTCGACATGTGACGTTATTTACGACGCCATGTGTGTTTACAACGTGCCAAGTCATCCAAGGTACACATGAAGATAAAGAAACAAAAGCATGTATTTGAACAAAGTGTACAAACGGTGTAACACTTTTGCCATGTATGTAATGTGACTCATGGGGACTGATCAAATATGTAATTAAGTCATTCAATTCAATCAGCCATTGTGTGATATAACAGTGGAATATTTTGTACATAAAATATTTATGAATGAAGGCAAAGTGGGGTCTCTTTTTTGTTTATGACAAAGTGGCCGACAAGGCCTCTCTATAGCCGGGTGCCTCGCCTGGACAGCAGCTTAAAAAAAAAAAAACGAATAACGAAAGCTGGAAGCTCGCACGCCTCCGTATTTTGCACTGGGAACGAGCTACCATGCATATACTTAAAATTGTGCTCATTATTGTCTAAGATGACTGTTGGGAGGCAAAATGCGTATTTCAATCCGACGGCTAGTTTTGAAACTGACCATCGTCTTTTCGTCAGACACGAACCCGGAAGTATATAACTGCACCCTCTTGCGTGGCGAATCATCCTTTCTCGAACATGACAATTACCGAAGTTACTGTTGCCGGCTAACTGCTTGTAAAAGTAACCTATCAAAAACATACACCTGAAGATTAAGAGGTAGGGCATTGCATTTCTGTCGGCTTAAAGGGTGAAAGGTATTCCGTCGTCGGACGAATTCCAACACAGGCCCCAAAATGACTAAGAATGTTCTTATCAGCCCTCGAACCACCCAAGTTAAAAATGGACATCAAATCTTTTGATGTCACAAAGCGTCACGCGCCATGCTTCTTCGTGATTACAAATTGTATGCACGTCTTGTGGACGTAACTGATGGACTGACGATGCGCGTGAAAGTGATGAATGTAATTCTCTCGCACCGCCCGCTGTGGTCCTGACCGGAAGTGATATTCGCTTGTTTACGTTCTTTGGCACGAGAGCTAGCAAAACAATGGCAGACAGTTGACCGACTCGTTGCAAAATAAATGAAAAGTAAACCAATAAAAGTCTATTGGAGACGCTTTTAGCTCTTAAGCTGTCGGACTGGATCACCATGGCGTCCCCGCTGGCGGTGCTTCTGTGGGCGGGGCTGCTGCTGCCCTTCGCGGAGGCGGCAGCGGCTGCTCCACGGGTCGCTGTGGTGGAGGTATACGCGGAGCAGCGGCTGAGTGGCGCTCTGTTCCGCGGGGAGGTGATGACAGCCAGCCGGAGAGAGAGCAGCGAGGGCCCCGGTGAGGACCCGGAGAACCTGGAGGGAGAACTCGTTCTGGTCGGAGCGTCACATTTACGGTTCTTTGAGTATGACGGAGTAGGTTCATATTTTGAAGTCTAGTTGATGCGTTAGATTCGCGACGCCGAGTCGCAGCTGAGCGGAGATGACAAGGAGGAAGGGGAGCTTTGGATCGGCGTGATGCCCGTGGAAGACCACCAAGGATCCGCCGGGAAGCAACACGAGTCCTTCACCGAGGCGGTCGTCAGCAGGGTAAATATTATGAACATTTTGGTTATGCGATAGACTTCTTGAAAATGCTCCGAATGAAAATGTTAATGGCACGCTTGCACCGATTAAAAAATAATTTTGGTCAAGAAATGTGAAAAGGAGGATGTACGAATGTAAAATCGACGTATTGTTTTGCCAATGCTGTCTTGGAAAATGTGAAACAATGAAAAACTTATGAATTGGGAGAGAGTGATGGAATCGGTGGAGAATTTTGGAATGAGTAGAGCGGTGAAATGTGTGGAATGAGATACTTGTTATGAGTGCACTGATAACGTTTTTCTCTTGACCAAAAGAACATATTCTCCAATTTTGTTGTGTAGATGAAGCGAGCGTTGGTGCTTGGCGCCTCGGCGCTCATCATCCTGGCTCTTAACCAAAATACCGTCAGAGAAGTAAGAAAAAAAAAGTGCGCGTGCGCACCTGTGAATAAGATAACGCTAAATGTGTTTGTGTTGTGCTTGAGATGGATCTGTCTCAGGCTCTGTCCAAGCCTGTCATTGTCATCCAGACGTCGGAGAACGTCACCAGGCTCATCGGAGCGCTGCTCAGGTATGCTAACGTGCTAATATGTGAACATTTTTCATCATCAACATCCATTTTTCGTTCCTCAGGGGCCTCCATGCGAGCGCTAAGATTACCTTCAGCAACGTCCTACAAGACAACCTGGTGAGCGTCAGCCGTAGCCGACCTTGGCGGACAGTCATTCGGAGATTGTGTTTGCTTGTTGTGCGACAGGGCGCCACGCTGACGCTGTGGTCAAGCTGCGGGCGCTCCAGAGGCGGGCGCTATGGAGAGTGGCAGGGCGTCATCTGCACAGGGGAGACCAACTCGCAGGTGCAGGTGCGTGTCATCCCGCTACCTTCCTGTCACGCTACCTGCTAACATGATGGACTTATCAGACCAGCCTTTATCACGACAGTGGTTAACTTGCTTTCACACTTGTATGCCGATAATCCTAAAATGTTTCGAGGTGAACACTGAAACCGATGAGTTGCATTTTCTATCCCTTCCAAACGGTCCGTCCTGTATGCCTGGGTTCAGGAGTACCTGCAGCGGCTGTGGGACACCATCCTGTGGGTGGCGCTCATCCTCAGCACGGGCGTCATCCTGCAGGCCCGCCGGCATAACTCTGACCGCCACCTCCACGGCAACATGGAGGTGAGTCCCCGTCCGGCGCGACAGCTGTCAAATCGATCACGAATGACCACGTCTCCTTCAGTCTCTCGCTAAACAGGACGTCCTGAAGACCATGTCCTCCCTCCGGACTAAAACGTACCGGAGGCCCAAAGTGCGGCGCGGCGAGACGGACAACTGCGCCGTCTGTCTGGAGCCCTTCAACCACAACCAAGTAAGACGGGCAAACCTACTTGAAAATGAAAACCATACCGTTGACGCGCGTGACCTGTCTGCAGTGTCTTCGCGTGTTGCCGTGCCGACACGAGTATCACCGGGATTGCGTGGATCCCTGGCTGCTGCTGCGTTACACCTGCCCGCTGTGCAAGCGCAGCATCCTGGGTGAGCGCGACAGAATCTCGCGCGACCGATTCATGACACAATGCTCAAAAGCAATGAAAAATGAGGACATTTTGGGGAAAATAGTAGCATCCAGAATAAGTGTGTTCCATCACCATGAAATCGAACGCACACATTAAGCATAATGTGACGTATCCATTTCAAATGGTTGTGAAACGCAGTGGTAGTCGCTTCTTGAAAGTATTTTTCTTTTGAATCAAATCATTTCCTGCCAAAACCTGAAAATATGTTTGCAAAAACACAATCGTTTGGGACCAAAATGTATAAATATGTTTGAAAATATTTTTGAAATAAAAACACCCAAAGGGCTTTGCGCACCTTTTTGATCGGGATCAAGGCTGAGGGACTGATTTCAGTATGATGAGTCACCACTAGATGGCAGGAGATCAGTTCTTGGCCCACACAACGTTTATCTAGCAAGAAGCTGTTATTTTGCAATCAAAAATGAGTCCATAGCAGATTTACAATTTTTTCCTTTCTTAGGCGGTGTCCACAGAGACAAATAGCGGTCACCGTGGCAACACTCCCATTTTTTTGTTTGAAGGAGCCGAGTGCCGCCTCTATTGGATCCGAAACCGTCGCATGTCCGGTGTTTCATGGGAAATTTTCCCCCCCTTCAACCTGGACGGCATTTTTGACACTTTGAGCTTTTGCATCCGCGACCACGAAAACCTCAGCAGGCCGTTTCATCTGGGAAATTTTCCCCCCTTCAACCCGGACGGCATTTTTGACACTTTGTGCTTTTGCATCCGCGACCACGAAAACCTCAGCAGGCAAGTCGGTCGGGCACAGGTGGGTCGGCAACTATGAATCCGATGAAGCCCTCAAGTGTGTTTTAGGTGTGAGCAATGAGAAGCAGGCGGGACACCTTTTTATTTTCAGCATTTTCATGTCCTGCGGTTACAAAGTGCGAACGGATCAGGTGCGTGTACAAAAGTTGTTGATTTGTGGTTTGCCGAGGCGCAAAGCGGTGCGAAGCGTCCGCTTCTTCCGGATGTCAGACTTTGCATTTTCATTGCAAAAATAAACCTCTCCAGACTGCTGCACCACTTTGGTTTCCAATCAAATAAATTATTTGTCCAAACAAGAGAGCGTCAGTCCTATTTTTTTAAAAAAAAAAAAAGAAAGTCCTCCTCCTCTTCTTCGGAACGTCCCTTCACGAGGGGATCATACCTTTGTTTCTCTTGCGGTCGGCCATGTTGCGCCGGTTGTGGTTGGCCCCGCGGCTCTTGTTGGCCTCCTTCTTGCGTCTGTCCAGGAACGTGTCCAGCGTCTGTCCCTGGCCTTTGGGACGGCCCACCACGTGGCTGGAACGCTCGGGCTGGATGCTGCGGAGGATTGGTCAACGCTTAATAGATGGACGGCGGGAATTTTTCCGTCGCCGCGAGTCCCGCTCGCGAGCGCCTCACCCTTTCCTTTGCTGCGCGGCGGCTCTTCTGGCCTCGGCTCGCTCCCTCAGCAGCGCCGGGTCTTGAATGAACTGGTCCCTGTTCACGTTGCTCTGCGAGACACAACAAAGGATTGAATTTAGGATTTCCGGCCTGGGCGAGGCTCTCACGTTGGGGTTTGAAGCCGTCGGTATGGACTTTAATTCGATTTCGAAAGCGGGCTCGGGATTCAAGCAGTGCCAAATGATTTGAAACATGCAAAGCGGACGAACATCCTCTCCACCGACCTGCAGTGCTTGGTCCTGTTCCTGCGGTTCGTCGTCCTCGATCTCCTCTGCTTTGTCCGCTCTCTGGAGGACTCGAGGCACCGTGAACGGTCTGAAAGGGGAAAACTGTCAGTTAGCATCAGAGTCGAAATCGGTGCTGAGAAGTCACGACACGGAGGGAAAAGTTTTATGCTGAAATTGTCGGCAGGTGCCACAAGATGGCGCAAAAGACTAGTGTGGTCGAAATCTGCCTTATAAGGTTCCGCAGGGTTCCGTTCTCGGGCCAGGCCCCTTCTCTTTTATTTTCAATGTGCAGTCATCTCCAGTCTCGTTTGAGGGGATTGAAACTCTCGGGACCGGTTTTCGATTCCCATCGCTACGCTGGCAAACGAGCAAATGCCGAAGCGGCAATACGCGGGGGCCTGGCCCTCCCTCCCGTACCTCCTGCTCAGCAGGGTGTCTCCGTCCAGGTCGTTGGCGCCCACTTGGTTCACGTCGTACGTGTCGTCGTACTCGTCGTCGTATTCGTCGCCCGCGCCGTAGCGAGCCGACGCCCCCGCCGCGTCTCCCGCCTGCAGCTCCACCTCGTCCACCACCGTCTCGTAGGCCCGGTAGCGAGCGCGCTGCTCAGATATGTGCCGCTTGTCGCTGAGCAGCTCGTCCGCGCTCTCGCCTTTCCTGTTGGAGGTTTCGTAAGGGCGTTTTTACGGTCGAGCGTGAAATATTCGGGGCTCCAAATTTGAGTCGGAAGCCGGGATTCCGTTTTCAAATCACGTTTGTGTGCTCGCTCTCTCTCACCTCCTTCCCTTCCAGATGCGCGTCATGTCCACGCGATCCCTGCGGAAGACGTCAAACTCATCGTCGTCAAACACGTTGGATCTGCTGTTCAAGACGGTGGGGAGAGCTTCTTTCGCCGCCCTCCAAACGCAGAACAACAGAGAGTCAAATGGAGTCTCAACACGATCAGCTCTTCTGTCCGCAAAAGTTGACATCGTGTGGAATGTTGTCGTATCTCAAAACCACATTGAAGAGTTTTGACTTATTCAGACTTTCTTTTTTTGGGCGGTAAGCCTCCTTCCAATTTGGGGCCATGAAGCACTTCCGGCATTTTTCTTTGAAATGTGAGACTGGAAGCACGCTGAAGTCACAAAAGATTTTTCAAAGACCTTTTAAGCGCATTCCAGAAACGAGCAGATTCCGTGCGACGGATTTGAAGCAGTTGCCGGAAAACTGCTTTGACTTCTTGATTGCGTACATTTTTTTTCTGCGGTGCAGTGACTAGAATGGGAATTTTAAGATTCACTCGCTTCTTTTTCCTTTAGCCTCTTGTCGGGTTGCCCGGCAAATTGGCCCATTCCAAGGTTTAAAAGTCCAGTTGCGTTCCAAAGTCTCATTCGCGCGCTCGCATCGAGCGTGGTGCAATGTGGGCGGGGCTCACCTGGGCATGGCGCGGTCCAGCGCATCCAGGTCGGGGGCCAGGCGCCCCTCCAGGATGTTGTTGATCACCAGCTCCGAGTTGTAGCTGTACTGCCGCAGGCACGCGAGCAGGAAGCCCTCGCCCAGGTCGGGCAGCAGGTCGCGGATGCACGACAGCAGCGACTCCAGCTCCGCCTCACTCACCGGGCAAACGTCACCCTGGGCACAGAAGTCAACGGGCGGCCCATCAGATTTCTTGGGAGTGCTCCTGTCACCATTTTTTTCTTTTGGGTGGGTGGGGGGGGCATACGTTGCTTCCTCCATGGGGGGGATCCAACATGGCCTCAGCCCCCCTGGGGCTCTCTCTGCCGCCTTCTGCTTCCCTCACATTCCGAGCGATGGAGAGCGAAGCCCCGCCCACCGCCCCCCGCTCGTCCGACGGCGACGGGGACCCCGCGGCCGGCGGTTTGCGTCTGCCCGCGCTCTCCCAGGCACTGTGGACGCCCTGCAGTAGGTAGGACGTCCTGGTCTCGTCGCTGAGGCGCACAAGTTGAGGCTTCCTTTCCTTTGTCTGACATTCCTCGCTTGGCTTCGCAAGCTAACGTCGCTCTTCCTTACCTTTCATGTGAAAGGCAACACCGGAAGCTATTTCTTTGCCCGCACGGTAGAGGTAAAGGCAACTTCAAAAGTTAACGCTGGAAGTGAAAGGCGGCGGCAACGTTAGAAGTTCACTTTGGAATCTCATGTTAGAAGACAATAGAAGTCGCTAACAGAAGAAATCGACATGGCCGCCACAATCATTGGAAGCTAATGTAGGAAGTGAATGTTGATGTATTCTTGGAAACTGACGTTTTGTTTTTTTAAATGAATTAAACGCGGCGTTTCCCTGGCAACGAGGATGACGAGAGGATACATGGCAGGAAGCGCTTGTTGGAGGAGGCTGACATCGTCTTCGATGGGAAACAGCTCGTCGTAATCGCACAAAAACCTAGAAAGACGAACCAAAAAACGTCACGGCACAACAAATCGATCCCCGGGAGGAAATAGCAAAGTGCTGCGTTCCCACCTTTTCTCCGACAAAAACGACGTAAAGTGTTGCAGCACCTCTTCGGCAAACGTTTGCGTGTTTTCCGCCCTGCATGATGACACGTGTGACTGTTAGCATTAGCATTAGCTTGGACGTGTCGCGCGAGGCGTTGGCCTCACCCCTCCAGAATGGGTTGCAGGCAGGTGTGGTGCAGCAGCAGGTGAGCCGTCTCCAGCATCCGGCGGCGCGAGTGGGACAGCCTCCGCCACACGTCTTCCTGCAGACTGCAAAGAGGCTTTCAGCACGTGACATGTTTGCAAACATCAGTCCTGCTCATTTTGGGGACCGGTCCGCCTTTGAAGGACCCCCTGAAAACGGCAAACTGAGCAGAAGGTTGTCACGCGGACCAGAAATGACCAATTCCCATGCTTTTTTTAGGCAGGGCTTCTTTTTCCACGTGCCAAATTTCAAGTTGCTCAATGAAACTGACGTTGCGAGCTGAATTTTTAAAATGGTTGACGGACAGGTCGGGATGACCCTCAATCGTACGATTGTACCTGCCCTCATAAAAAATAAAGTCCCCCCCAACCCCGCTGGCCAATGAGAAACCTTCCACGTGCACCTTTTATCCTGAAATGTCCTCTTTGTCAAGGCGTTTTCCAGGTCGGGCACGACGCTCTCGTAAAAAGAGGCCAATCTGCAGCGGGAGGAAAACGCAGAGACGCCGTTGTGAGCGCGAACACGAGGCGTGTCTGAGCGGCCATTTGGCCGGCGCGCGTCCGTCTACCTGCAGAGGAAGCCGCGCGAGTGGAAAGTGGCGCAAGCGGCGGGGAAGACGCTCAGGAAGGCGTGCAAGGTGCTGCTTGCGTCGCACAGGTACAGAACAATGTCCACAAAGTCCTACAAAGACAAGAAATGCACGGAAAGCCAGAAGTGACATCAAGAGGGCCTTCGGCGCCCGATGGCGTCTCACCTGCTGCGTCATGCCGACGGCGGTCGGCTGCTTGTGGGCGTTGAGCTTCACCGGTTCGGCGGCGGCGGCGCAGCGCAGGCCGCACTTCTCCAAAATGGTGTCAAACACCTGGCGGGCGACACGCTTGACCGTTAACGCTTTTTGGTGTCGTTCGTGGAAAAATGCACGGCACAGAGGTGCAAGTGAGGAATCGGCAAATCGACTTTTCTGCCGACGTCAACCCCCAAATTTCCTTGACAAGAAAACGTATGCGCCTGCACTAGTCTAAACACGGCATTCCGATTCATGTGGTGGTTGTGGAAAATGAGTGAAGCAGTAAAATGCAAACATTTTGTCCATCTCAGGGGGCGGCCATTTTGCCACTTTTCTGACATAGCAGTTGCTCAGGGCTCAGGTAGCGACCAATCACGACCCACTTGTTTTTTGTCACTTACTTATGATTGGTCGCTACCTGAGCCCTGACAACTGTGATGTCATTTTCAGTGGACTCAAAGTGGCAAAATGGCCGCCCCCACCGCTTGAGTCATTTTTCCACAAACGGAATGCCCCGTTGAGGGGAGTGTGGCGACATTGAACATTGATAGTGTCGCTCAAATGTTGGGGTTGACTTCCCCTTTAATGGATTGCAACAATACACGAAGATAGCAATGACAATTTTTTAAAATTTTGCAAAGAATTGGCTGCGTGACGGGTTTATGAATGGGCCCAGAATTTGGTCTCACCTCCAAAATAGTGGGCACGGTGTCCTCCAGGTCACTGTAGTAAGACGGCTGTTGAAGGAAGATGTTGTCTGCACGCAAACAAGTTCAACAAAGGATGCTGTCATCTACACAGAGTACAAAAGGTCACCGGCGACGAGGTGAGGCGGCAATGGTCACCGATCATCTTGCGCAGCAGCGCAGCGTTGCCCTTTCCGAAGAGCACGCACAGGTCCATCATCTTGGGGACGTCAAACAGGAAGTTCTCATACAGGATGTCCCCAAACACGGCAGGCGTTATGAAGTTCTCCTGAAGAACAGCAACGGCAATGTCGCGTGGTAAAAACTCAATGGGTATTAAAGCGGTCTCGCAATTCGCTGCCACCGTAGTGAGCACTTGCAACTCAGTACAGGATGTCCCCAAACACGGCGGGCGTTATGAAGTTCTCCTGAAGAACGGCAACGTCGGATGGTAAAAACTCAATGAGTATTAAAGCGGTCTCGCAATTCGCTGCCACCGTAGTGAGCACTTGCAACTCAAGACGGAATCCTAACAACAGTGCGAGCGGGGCAAGCGATGGCTTGGCGGCGACTCCGGAACCGATTTCCCACGCTAAACGGGCTTGTGACTGCATTCGATTATTAGGCCGGTCGCACCTTGGACTCCTTGTGAGTGGCCATCCGGAGGAAGGCGAAGAAGACGGCTCGGTGGAGCGAACACTGAGTTTCCGCCACCGCCGGAGACGACGGCGCGGAGGCCAGGTCCAGGCTGCGAGGGGCGTGGTGGACGTACGAGTCCAGGCAATTTTGCAGCGACCTGTCAAACACGACCTGAGAAAAGAGGGAAAAAGCGTCCCTGTTTTGAATTTCAGATGAAATGAATGGGCGATAGCATTCAGCGAATGGAATTTCACAAGACCAAGTCAATTGAGGATTACGTCAATAAACTTGAGGGGGCCAATCAAAACCTCTTTCACCTGACACCAAAACTTGTCATGCGGCAGGCCGAGTAGCCATTCCAGATCCTCCAAGATGAACCTGCCGCGTTCCAAGAACTCCTCCACCTCAGCCGGACAGGCGTCGGCCGACAGCGCTGCGTAAGGCACGAAGAGGCGTTCCTGCTTCCTGTCCGGGTGCTGAACAGAGAGATGGACGGTGATAGCCAGCGAGCACGTTGCTCAACGACAACAAGAGGACGGCCATTCACCAGCGCGGCCAGCGAGCGTTCCCTGCCAAGCTCGTCTCGCTCGGTCACCTGCTGCTCATCCAGCGGTACCCGGGCGCAGGCCATGGCTCCTCCTTGAAAATCAAAAACACAAACACATTATACAGCTTCAATGTTTTTATGTTTTGTCATTATCAGCCTTTTTTTCTGCCCCATGCGAGCGGCAAAATGAAAACTGGAGACTTTTTTGGCGGGCCAAAAAAAAAAAAAACCATGCGTGTTTTAAAGCTGGATAATCAATTTCTTATCTTTGTGTTTCATATAAAAACAATACTTTGGGATAGTTGCTTTTGTGTTGGATAACATGGCTACACAAATTGTAAAATTTGAAAGACATTGAAAGACATCAAGAAGACAAATTAAATGGATCACATTTGGTTGGAATGGAATGACTTTCAATGTGTCCTGATTAGCAACTTCGCCATTTGTGGACATGTCAAGTCACAAACTTAATTCCACACACTTTTAACATGATGTACAGTTCATCCCGCTCTGTACATGTCTAATTTTCACCTCCACGAATCATTACATTTAACACTAATCTGTATTTGAAGGTCGTGTGGCACAGAGGTAAGCTAATAAACTAAAATCACCTTTGATGAAAGCACGTCATTCAAAAACATCAGCAAAGCGTTAGCATAACGTGGCTAAACAAGCCGAAAACTTTGCCGTGTGGCCGAGAAAGAGGCAAGAAATTCACCCACCTTGTTACGATCAGCGTCTGCCACTCTCGGAAGTCATCCTCGTGGAAATGTCGTCACTCTTGTGAGCTGTTTTCACTTAAAAAAATGTTTTTTTTCTCGATTTTTGTCCGGCGTCTCCAGCTGGGTAGAACACGCATGCGCAGTACGAACAGCTCCGAGTTTGTTCTTCGACACTGGGTGCAGAGACACAGCAGCTCTTATTTATTTACCGCCCTCTAGTGTGCAACCAAGTAAAGTACAGCATTCTTGGTCAATGACAAAATCAACCGTGAAAACAAAACAGGATTTACATTTTCCTTCTAGGCCATATAAAATGTGAGTCTTAATTTAAAGCGCAAAACCAACAGTAAAATTTAACAAATGCTATACCTATACAGCACGTGAATTGGAATTTTACATATTTTATTTTTAATTGAATTAAATAAATACATTAGAGGGGATAAGAAAAGTAGCACTATGCTCTAGCGAGTGAAATAGTTCAAAATACAGTAATTAGAATTCATAGGCACTAATGCAGAATGTCTGCCTATAAGAAAAGTAGCACTATGCTTTAGCGAGTGAAATAGTTCAAAATGATTAGAATTCATAGGCACTAATGCAGAATGTCTGCCTTTTACATTTTGTTCAAAACAAAAGTAATCTGACACATGCATGGAAAAATCTTACTTTTATTGGTCATGTATAAAGTCCGCTTAAATAGCACAGTCTTGATTTTCTTGGAAAATGACTTTTTTGCCCGATACAAAAACAGAAACTGAATGGTGTGTTGTGACAGTTTGAATGATCACAAATGTGAACTATCAATCCAGTTGATTGGAATTCAGAGTAACACAAAGAATTTCACAGGCCTGCTTCCACACGTTTTTTTTTCACCGTTTCCCATGTGCTACATGAACTCAACATTAGTCCAACATTGTAAGAAAAAAAAAGGAAAAGAGAATGACCGGCTTTCATGACTACTGTAAAAAGCCACAATAAATAATCTCCCATGTACATTTTCAGTGTCAAGCAGCAGTAACGATGGAATTGAGCTCATAATCCATTTACAGATTAATCAAGAGATATTTTTAAATCTGAAAAAAAAAACGTATGAATTTTTAAATGGTCAATTTTTCAAATTTTTTTTACATACATTGTATTAACAAATTCCAACATATGACTAACATAATGTCATTCAAAAACGCCCCCTCCCACCCCAAAATTAATAAATAAATCTGCTGGGTGTAGACGATTTTGCAGAATCTTCTTAAATACTAAAGGACAAAGTATTGTAAAACTGTCAAATTTTCTTTCTATAATTCTTAAATCTGTATTGTTTTGGCAATTAAGGGACCAAAAAAAAAAAAAAAAAAAGATTTTTACTCATGATATCGTTTTGAAATTTAGGCTCCAAACAACAACCCCCTTCAGGTTGACAATAAAGTTGATTTGACTTGACTTAAGGGGTGTTGAAAATGGATAGGTGGATAGTTGTGAAATTAATCGGCTGATTTATCGATGATCATAATTTTATCGTGCCAAATATCGGAATCGGCCTGAAAAAAAAAATAATCCACGTCAATCGAGCCCGCCGGTCAGTCATACTGCATCTTCTTTTGGTGAGATAAAAAAAAAAAAAAAAAAAACTGCATCAGTAACTCTCTGGAAATAAACTGTCAGGCACACAGCCCAGAAAAAAACAAAATGTGACCAAAGGGCGTGCGTGCGTGTGTGTTCGCATCATGTCCAAGTCCAATACATGTCTTTTTTTTTTCATGCCAAATTGAAATACACACGAACCAATTGCAAAGTATTCTAACCACAATTGGAGGAAATTGTCAGAACATCTTCTGACCGTTGATTGATGCAAGCGTGAAAAAAAATTATCTAACCTTTATTTCTTATTTTTTACGGTTTGACAAGAGAATGGATAGGTGGCTAGGAAAAAAAAAAGAAAGAATTCACATTGTACTTCATGGAGTAAACTGAACAAATGTGACATTCTCAAATTGTCTTGCATGATTAGTCGGTTTATAATTATGCATAATTATGTCAATTATTAAGCTAATGACTCGATGAGGTCATACATGAATTTCCTCAATGAATCATACATTCATTGCCATTTACAACATCATTAATACAAATGAACTAATTACATCCTTTTATAGTAATTGTAGACAAATTGTCCCTCATTATTATTTACAATAATAGTGATTTTTCTTTTTCTTATACAAAAAAAAAAAAACATACATGAAACTGTCTATTAATTAGATTGGGAATGTCATTCATAACAGGTTGAACCTTGGAATAAATTCAAATATTTTTGCTCCACTTTGGATACAACGGTGGTTGTTTTTAAAGCGCTCGAGAAATACACTTGAGTTGAGATTAATTGCTTGCATTTGAATTCATTTCAATTTCAAATTGACTTCAGTTTGGCCACCGTACAAACTACTGGTGAACACACACGCACACACCCGCACGCACGCATACTGTCGTGTAGTCGAGAATGATGTCCATGTTCCAAGTTCCAAACAAGTTGATACAGCTATTAGCATTGGCCGCTAAGCCGTTGAACCTTTTGTTGAAAAATAAAAAAGCGATGAGGAGAACCTTTTGTCATCTTTGGTCGGCGCAGTCACTTTAAATCGGTGAGCCGAGGTTCTTTCTAACAATCACGTTCCGCCGCACGGCTACAGATTTTTATTCCTATATTCTCGTATTCTCACAAAAAACAAAGTAAAGGCGAGAGGTTTACCGTCATTTTTCAAGATGAAAGAAGAGCCGACAGCGCTCCTCTTCTTCGCATTGAAAACAAGAAACAGTGTGCTTGCTTTGGGAGCCGACCCC